AACGCTAATTACGATGATGGAAAGCGATTAAACGAACAATGAGCAAGTGAACGTACTACAAACTCTAGCAACTAACCGGTGCACAAAGCCAAGGACAACAAAAAGCCAAAAATAGAGAAAAGAACTCCATTTAACATGCTTGATAGCTAAAATCGAAATCCTACCACGAAATAACCGAGATAAATATCAAGTCCGGATCTTTCTAATAGCAATCAATCAATCAATCAACTCCAAGCATCATAAACGAGCTCACAAAAGTAAAGGAAATTAAAACGACTAAAATAGCTACTAAAAATCCGACAACCGAGCAAGCTATAATTACTTCTACACACGAGATAGCAAGTAAGTACGAAAATCGAGATCACAAGGCTTAAAAGTAAGTACTCACATCCCTAACGCATGTTTGATCGAAATCGGAAGAAAAAGATTAAAACTTGCATAAACGAGAAATCACCGGAAAAAGTCGCCGGAAAGTGTAAATAGCATCCACCTTGCTCTAGAGAGAAAATAAAAGACTTAAGCTAAGAAACCAAAAAGAGAAATATTTCATAATGAGCTAGATGTCTCCCAAATGCAAAGGCTCAAAAGTATTTATACTCCAACAAAACACACACTAAAAAACGCACATAAAATAACACTCTCGAGCTCGAAGAAATGGTGGCGGGCACGCGCCGTGTGCAATGGTGAGAAATGAGCACTCTCGAGCTCGAGGAAACGCCGGCGGGCACACGATGGTGATGTAGGGAGGACTCTCGACCTCGAGGAAATGGTGGCGGGCACGCGATGGTGATGTAGGGAGGACTCTCGACCTCGAGGAAATGGTGGCGGGCACGCGATGGTGATGTAGGGAGGACTCTCGACCTCGAGGAAGAAATGGCGGGCTCGCGATCATGCAAAAGAAACTTTGGCTCAGACTCACTAAATGTGGCTCGACTCTCTCATAACATAGTTCGACTCTCTCTCTCTCTCGATCTCCGGAATGACCCTGAAATTAATAATCGAAAAACACGGAGAAGTACGCCAAAATATAAAATAAAAAAGGAAAGCATAAAAAACACACGGAGAACGACAAAATGGACCAAGCAACCCTAAAACAATCCTAGAATCGACTCGAAAGCACACAAAAACACATAGAAAAACACACAAAAACACAATAAACACCCTTATTTCTACATTTTACTCTACATCAAATATATTATTTTTTTTATTTATTTTTTTTCAAATAAATTGGTATATATGTTTATTTAATCTTATATAAAATGTTATTTACTCAAATAATAAAATAATTACTTTTTTTTATTTCAAAAATGAATTTGGTACATATATATATGTAAATTTAATTTTATAAAAACATGTATATTACTCAAATAATAAAAATATATTTTATTTATTTTTATTTCAAATAATTTGTTATATATATGAATATGTAATCTTATATAAATGTTTATTACCCAAATAATAATAAAAAAATTATGTATAACAACAAGAGACTGCTTCATAAGTTCAAACAAAAGGATACAAATTACATAATACAATGAAAAAAATAAAAACCATTACAAACAACAACGATTACAATAACATTACAACTAATTTTCTAAATTAGAAAAATCCTCCCATAAATGCTCAATCAATGCATTACGAAGGGCGATGTGAGCTTCTCTATCTCGAATTTGTCTCTATCGAGCAACAAATGCTTGGAACTGAGAAGCTTCATTACCAACCGTTTCAACATCTGGGATTGGGGCTTCTATCGCAGCTTCGATCGGTGCAGAAAGATCTCGTCATCCTCAGTTATCATATTATGCGAAATAATACTGAAGTGAATAAGATTCACCCGGGCTCCTTCAACTCGAACCGGCCTCCGTACCTGCAGAACCCAACGCCGGGGGTGGCCCCGGCGTCGGGCCTCCGATGCCTAAGTCAGTGCTCAGATCAAGAGAGAGATAAAGTGTAGTAATGTAATGAGGAGAGGATAATAATAATGTGTGAATGAGGTACCTTGGCCCCCCTTTTATAAGGGGAGTGTACCTTTGTAGGCTCGATATGAGCTTGGCCCATAATGTTGGGCTTGGACGTCTTAGTGGGCTTATCCTCCAAAATGTATCCGCTTTATCCATTAAACCGGGTCCAGTATAATATCCTATATCATCTAGTCCCCCCCACTCTGGTCGAGTAAGCATAACTCGATCCAAGAGTGAAATGCCTCTTCGAGTTGTTTTCTTCAGCTTGCCACTAAGATCGAGCATCGAAAGTCGAATAACCATTAAATAACCACTGAAATATCCTCCAAATGAACTCTGAGATCTCAAGATCG